TAAATACGCACATTTACTTCTTGTACGCTCAGCCCGGAATAAACTTACTGTTCGTACATCTGTATTATGATTATCATTTATGTTTTTCAAAGTAAATAGGCCGTATTAATTACAACGGCATGTTTGCCTTAATTACCAAATAACTGATATCCGAAATATTTTGCGACCCTCGAGAATTTCGATCCCACCTATATTTCATTATTACGCCTTGCGGAATTATAGGGCTGTGTAATTTACACGGAAATAATACTCTTATGCCCGTTTTCACTATTAATCCTTAATTTTTAAGTGATCCCTATGAAAATAAAATTCTTGTTAGGTGTTATCATAGGGGTCACTTCAAAATTAGGGACTAATGGTGAAAACGGGCATTAATAGTTCAAAACAAAAAACAATGTCGTGTGGTTCCTGTACAGTAGAAAAGAACCAACTTCCACTCTTGCCGAAGTCTTATAGACTTCTTAGGAAAAACATTATTTTTTAAAGAGCCAAAATATGTATTTACTTGATAAAAATATTTCCTAAGGTTGACAGCCCTCAGCCTCTGTCATATTAAAGCAACAAGGTAGAGAAACTTAAGTGAACTTAACTCAACGTTTGATTGGCAATGAACGGTTTCCAATAATCCCAAGAGGCAATATTTGTTTACAACTCAAATATCAGAGTTGAGTTCGTCTCAATATCGTAATAATTGGTTCGAGAGACTTTGAGGGTTGATTCTGAGTAATAATTACATGTCAATATGTAATTTACCTGTCAATGAACAATGAACATAATATTATAGATAAGTCAAGTAAGAACTTGGTGAACTAACATTGTATTACCCATTAATTAACCGGCTATTAAGTTTCAAGTTTAATTGTTTAGGTTTAAGAGGATATTGATCCCTCCCGCTTCCAGTCCATGGCCTAGTAATTAATACGCTCCCCTTACCAAAGACCACGCAGCGCGAGACGTCCACCCACAAGGTGGACCAACGACCTCATAAAGATAACAGGAAGGAGCTGGATGCAAGCCGCTACCAACCGGGCGAATTGGAAATCATTGCAATGGGGGAGACGGTCTTCCAAAGACCCATGTTCAGCCTATGGCTGATAATAAATCTATACTAATAATATAAATGCGAAAGTAACTCTGTCTGTCTTGCTTTTACGCCTAAACCACTGAACCGATTTTGATGAAATTTGGCATAGAGATAGTTTGAGTCCCGGGAAAGGACATAAAATTGTTTTTATCCCGGTTTTTGAAACAGGGACGCGCGCGTTAAAGGTTTTCTGTGACGTACAAAATTCCACGCGGGCGGACAGCTAGTATCATTATACTTATGATGATGATAATGATGATCCAGTCCATTGTCAAACCATTGATACACTCCCCTGACTAAAGACCAAAACATAGGTCAATCAGAATAATCTAAAGGTACCTGTACCTCTTTCCTTAGTACCTTTTGAATAGTATCCAATTTTTGAAAACGTAAATTTGAGCACATCAGACTATACATTTTTATTGCAAAATCACACCTATTGCCACGATATAAGATGTCTTACTGTGTACCTTAACGTGCCATCGTCTGTACCTCGATCTTTCATTGCTAATCTGATCCCCAAACAAATGGCTGCGAATTAATTTCACTGAATAATGACACGATTGATGATGACACGGTAACCTCACTTCAAACTGAATGATAATTTTCAAGATTTTTGGCAAATGGTGTTTGCTTGCTATTTAGGATACACTCTTTGACAGTAGGTCAATAGTAGTTGTCTGGAGCTTGAACGAAAGTAGGTTACACCGTTCGCCACAAAATATAATTATAGTACCTACCTACCTAATTACTCGTAATTATAAAAGTTAGGACACCATAGGTTTTTTAAGAAAGGCAAACTAGGTTTAGACCAATGCGTACCCAATAACAAAACGCTCTCAGTGTAGGTGGCTATAATACAGCATTGTTGCGGAAAAGCGTTCTCGGTATGGGTCCAGTAATATTCAATAAATTACCAAATGACATAAAAGAGTTAACATTTCAATTATTTAAAAAGAAATTGACATTACTATTGAAAAACAAATGTTATTATACTATAGACGATTTCCTGAATGACAAATTTTGAACTTTAAAATTAATTTAATATCTCGTAAAACATTAATCTGACATTTCTACGCCACATGGCAAAATATGATGGACCTTTATTGTAATAGTTAAGACCTTATGACTGTACCATATTTTAAGAAATAAATCATTTGAATTTGAATTTGAATTTGACACTTGTTCCCTGCCTAGTGGTCAAACAGTGAGCTCACATAAAATGAAATTGTGCTTTAGTTATACAACTTCTGAACTCGATCCGCTATTTTGGCTTTATTTTGACGTTGCCTACATTTATATTTATACGTTGCATTTATTATTACTTATCATAAAACTTAATCAATTAAAATCTTCTACAAGTAAAATTAATACCTGGCTAAGAAAATAACTAACGCTAGTTATATGCTATGTGATTATTTCTTGCAAAAATGTACTACTCTGAAAACCTACTTAATTTCCTTTTACTGTGGTAATGATTCCCAACAGGAATCGCGGTCTCAAGCAATTGAATTTATGATGCTATTCAATTGGCGAAATTATATTTGATAAATCCATTGGGATGATGAATTCTGATGCTTTAATTTATGTGCTTAGAAGTTTGGATAAAGAAATAGACTCACCTGGCCTGGTGGTTCGCGTGGTCAACGACGTCAGCTGTGGTCCAGATTCGTATCCTGATGAGGGCAAATATGTAGGTAAAGTATGTTTATGTGTTTCTAGAGCTGTACATAAGAGATAGATACAAAATATTTACCTGTCTGCTTTCTAGTCACTGTAGTTACTAACACTGGCTTAAACACTGTTTTAACACATCCTCCTAATTGTAATTTGCTGATTGGCATCAAAAATTTGGACTCTGATATTACAGGTAATAAGAGCGAGTTTCTAAACAAATATTATAGTCTGATGTGGTGTTGCAAGCTTTAAAAATATCTAAGTAATATAAAAACACGAAAATATGTATCAAAATATTTCTATTTTTTTTGTGGTAATTATTAACTACTAGCTTTTCGCCCGCGGCTTCGCCCGCGTGGAATTTTATCTGTCACAGAAAAACTATATCGCGCGCGTCCCTGTTTCCGAAAACCGGGATAAAAACTACCCTATGTCCTTTCCCGGGACTCAAAATATATCTAGGTATGCCAAATTTCATCAAAATCGGTTCAGTGGTTTAGGCGTAAAAGCGAGACAGACAGACAGAGTTACTTTCGCATTTATAATAATTATTAGTATAGATAATAGGTATAGATGAAGCTAACCACTATCGAAATTATAAATAACCCCATCGGAAGTAGAACCCGAGAAAGAATGTGAAACAAATATTGGTTGTAGCCCATATTGAAGTCTAGAATGCTACAATATTGAGGGTAATTAAACATTGTGGGCCGGAGCAAACATGGCCGCCGTTAAACAAAGTCTGGACTCTGGATGTCTAATGAAAAACGAGGCCAGTACAGGAGTACTTTTAAATATTTGTTAAATTGTATTGGTACAAACAAACATGTAACAATCAGGTATAGGTACCTACGACTAAATTAATGTTATTTCATTTTATATACAGAATATATTAGAATCAATCAGTACAATTTTGAAGGGAATTTATTTTAGAAGAATAAATTAGTTAAATTGTGAAAAAACTTTACCTAAGTCTTCATCATCATTATTTCAACTAGGCGTCCAATGCTGATTTAAGGCCTCCTCCAATGATTTAGGCTCCACAAAATGGAATAAATTTTAGAACAACAACGTGATTTACAACAAGAACAATCGCTAAAAGAGAAATTATATTTATACTTACCCATTTAGAATAAAAGGAGCAGTTACAATGCGCTCAAAAAGGTTTTGTAATTTCTTATCGTTTAGATCATCTACACAATTGAGGTTCATACGGTAGTCTTACTTCCTCGAATCATTAGGTCATTTTCTCTTCACTGCTGAAGCTCTACTTTCTCTAATTTAGGATTTTGGCCTATACTCCCTACAGATTGGAGTGACTTCCTCAAATAATGCGGTTTTCCATTCTACTGTTTGTTTTCATGCATACTTATCACTGGGGGCTAAGTGCGAGTTTAACACCAAACATCATCGCTGGTGACTGCGTAAAGGAAGACATTAAATGTATAACAGATTGTACATTGTACAGGGTCCCTAACGAATCCTAACGGACCAGAAAGAACTAAAATCTTCATAGATTTTTTAAGCACTCGCTAGCGACGACGTTCAATGCAAATTCTCACTAAGTACACAGATCCTCCAGGAACTTTACTCACCTCTCGTTTCCACTGCTGCAATTTAATTAACCGAGGATATGTCAATAAAACACAACCAGAAAAGGTCTAGTGTCCCAGGGACAGTGTGTCCACCTGTATCCACTATGTAGGCAGGCTTTTACGTTTAACTACCCTCAAGGGAATCTCCAACACCTAAAGTTTTTAATGTGATGTTTAGGCCAATTGTCTGTTGCTAGAGTATTTTTGGATTTGGATTATGGAATCATACTGACTTAGTATTTTTAAGCCAAGAGTATTTTTTTATGAAACTCGTTCCACAGATTCGTTCGTTCTAGTAGTATGTATTTCATCAGTCTGACAACAGTAACTAGGATACTACTCAATTTTTCTCAACTGTAGATCTATTACCTAAAATGCTTCAAGTTTGCATTGTTTAACTTTCCTTTGAAGGAATTTAAAACATTTGGATAATGTTAGCCAGATTTTCAGCATTTTACCTTATTTTCTCAATTTACGAATTTTCCTTATTTTTAGAGACGGAAGGAATGTATTGCGTGAAATCTTTTCTTTTATGTGTTGTGCCACTTACTATTATAGGCGTTATGATAAGGCCATTATACAGTTTTTTTAATAGAGTAAGTTTTTTCAAGTTTAAGAACCAAAACAAAATTAAACAAACGGGATTAATTCTCACTCTTTTTATTTGCTATAACGTCTTTGAAACATTAAAATTCATCTCGTAAACGTCTACGTATTATAAATACAGATTTCAGAGTACCTCTTCACTAAAATCACAACATCGTTACATTAAAAACATTAATATTTACAATAAATAAACAAACTATATTTACACTAGTCTCATCGATGTTATATTAGATAAAATACCGATTATTTAAAATATGTTTTACATGGTAGTAGGTAATAATACTTTAAACGAATGATTATTCTCCTATTTATCAATACTAACAAATGGTGACTAATGAAAAAAAGATAAATAAATTATACAACTCGACAGCAAATTCATTCTAGAAGAATTTTCAATCGACACTAGATATTTTTTACACCCAGAGTTTTAGAAAATATTTTAATTATTACAACAATGTAAATAATTCTATCGATTCAATTGTCAAATTCTACAAGAACAAAAATGAAGTTAAAATAGTTAAGTATCACACTTATGGCAGGATATACGTATATACGTAGAAGCTCAGGAATGTATAGGAATACAATACGCCCAAAAAAAATAACAAATTTCAAATAAATATTAAAGGGAATATAACAGCTGCAAGCGGATAAATAAATGTGAATTAAAAACTATGATTGAAAATAAATAAAAATGACAGGAAATAGTTAAATCAGTCCATGTTGTTTTTTTTTATAATTTAAAACAAAAACATAAAATTGCAACAATGTAAATGAAAACAAATATATGATTTATCACAAGAATTTGTTTAGGAGACAAGCTATCTTATATTTTAAGTACATTATGTACTAAAGACTTGATACACAAGTAATGAGCACAAAGTTTTTTGAATTGGGACATTTAAGTTAATCTAATGTTAACATCAATATTTTACAATTAAATTACTCTCTCTTCATGTGCTATTTTATTTTCTCTTAAATTACACTTTTACCATAAAGTAGAAGAAACTGCAGTAGGTCACATTTAACAACTTTCGAGAAGTGGAAAAAATAGGACATTTTGATACTTATATTTACAAGATTTTCAATATTAAGTACATACAGTTAACCTACCACGACACGAAAAATCTTAATTGATTGTAAATTGTAACCCTTATACTGAAGGCTTAAAAATTATAATCCTTTGGATAAATTCTAAATTTTGTGGTAGGTTGAAGTGCTTGCCGCATATTAATCAAAACTTATCCTGATAAAATAATTTAAGTACTCCCTTGATCATCTTTTTGTCAAACTTGTCTAAGCTACACAAATAATACCTGTGTGAAAGTTTTTAGTCAATTCTTAAAGAAATAGACTCGTATTTAATTTGAAATGAACCTTAAAACCGTATCATTTAACTTAAAATTCACACGATCGAATCATTAAGCGTTTCAGATTTAGACAGTAACGGCACACTACTATAATCTTTCAAATGCTCACTAGGTTTTTTAGTGCCATTATCAAAGGAACTTGCCGTCGGCATTTTAGCGATCCAATTATTATTACCTACTTTATTCGACTTGTGATTGCCTACCGAGTTCATCTGACAGTCCTTCAGTTTGACTCTGGGTTGGCTATGGCTAACGGAGTTGTGGTTGAGCGAATTTACATTGAGTGATATGGAATTGGCTACACTAACTTTGTCAAGTTCTTCGCTGTCATTCACTCCGTTGGTGACTGGATCAGGATCCGAGTGTTGTCTCTGCATTTTAAGGTTTTGCAGGAGAGGTTGAGCTTCTTTTTCCAGTTTGGCTATGTCGTTGCCTTTTTGGATGAAGACGCCTGATCCCCGTCTACTGGAAGACCTTGAGGTTTGGTCTAATCTATTTCTGAATGGAGTGAGATGAGATACTGAACTCTCAGTTGACTGTGTCTGAGCTTTTGTAAGTGATGGTTTTTCTTTAGGCGCGTTTGGATCTATAATTTCTCCTAGCAGCCAATATGTTATTAGGATGCCCTTACCCTGAAACAAAATACAAGTTTTTTAATTTATCAATTATTAATGCAATTAAGTCTTGCTTGTGTAAAACTAGTCTGTTCGCTTGGAGTTTGAATTTCATTCAAAATGATTTCCCAAGTGAAACGGAGTTACGAACTTATTTAGTAGAATATTTAAGTTATGAATTTATACTTCAACCGTGCACTGGACAAGCAGAAAACTAAAATAGAATATCCCGCTTGAAAATATCGCTAGGCCCGACCCTGATGCTGACACCAAAAGCTATTTTTCACTTCGTTAAAGTGCGATGCGTCACTTGCATCGTGTGATATTTTGAAAATACGCGTCTTGAGTTTTAAAATCTTATCTTTCGATGTCATATCCGTACCGCGCGGGAATAACTTGACATCTCGACCTGCACTTTTTTTTTTTATTAGCTTAAACGTTTCCTCTACCTTATACCCTTCTGGTATAAAAAACTCAACTCGAAATACCCAAAAATACTTGAAATACAGCTCTTGTTCATAAGTAAATATCTCTAATTTAGGCAATAAATATTTGACATAACGATATATCCAATTAATATTATTCGTACAAACAATTATATTTCGATTTATCAATGTATGTCAGAACATGTATTTGTTAATATCTCGACTTATACATTTATGGNTACGCAAAAATGACATGTCAAGTTATTCCCGCGCGGTACGGATATATTCATAACAAAACAAATATAGACCATAAATAGTTACTAAAAATATACCAACTTTTTATAAAGTTTATACACATTTTCTTTTTCACAGAATATTATGACATTTGAATCAATACTTAAATAATTCTCAGTAAAATATAAAGAGTTCTTTAAGAATTACTCAAGTGCCTAAGATGAGTTATATAAATCTTCAATTTTCTTTCTTTGATGTGAAGCACATGAGTTATCAAATTATTCATATTTATCTGAGCATGAGTTGGAAATTCTGAGACATTTCACATAATTTTATTCTTGGTATCTTATAACGCTCGTTTTTGATGTTCCAAGCACGTATTTTAGGAAAAACATTAATACACCTTTGCAGAGGTTAACGTGTCGGTGACTTTGCTAAAATTCGGTTTTATATGGTCTCCATCAAGCATTAATTTTTCATCAATTAAGTAATTCCTTTATAACCTTTAATCAGGTACTTTATCTATAACGAAGCTTCCTATTTCTTCCTTCATTTCAACGTTTTTCTTAAGCTCTACCAAATTCATGATCCACAATACCTAAGTTCTTAAGGTCTACAATGCCAAAGCACTTACCTCGTTTCTTAGTACACAGTACAACCACAACAGTGACTCACCTTCATAGCAACTTCTCCCCTGCATTCCAGGTGGAAGGTGCCGAATGTCTCGAGCAGAGCCCTCGTGTCTGGGGACACGTGGATCTTCAAGGCTTCTCCGTTGGACTCCATACGGGAGGCCGTGTTGACTGTGTCCCCGAAGAGACAGTAGCGGGGCATCTTGAGACCTACCACTCCGGCTACGCATGGACCTGGGGGCAGACATTTAGTTTTAGTGTTTCAGAAAAAAAATCAATAAAAAGGAACTTATAATTCTGATTCAAATCAAATTCAAATCATTTCTTGCGAGTCACATAAAAAATATTAAGAAACTTAGAGGATATTATGATAAAGTATTTTATCAATCTGCTACTGGGAACTTTTTTAGTAATCTAACATAATACGTTTGCCAACCAGTTTACCAACCAAACAAAATATTAAGATGGCAATTCCATTGTTAAAACTGCGAAAACTTACAAAAATACTGTTGTACTCGTAATATTCCGTGAAATAAAATAAAGCTACTCCGCACTTTTATTGCCCTCATAAATGCTTTCGGTTACAAATGAAAACATGCTTCTGTTGCTTGTTCTGCTTTTTATGCCCTATTTTTGTTTGAACATTGTAAAATGATATCATAATAGTTTTCATGATTTATAATAGACTAGCGGCCGCCCGCGACTTCGTACGCGTGGATCCCGTTTTACCCCCTTTTCCCGAATTTTCTTTGCTGTAAACCTCACGGAGCCCGAGACCTTTCTAACGAATGCAAAACCGTGGAAATCGGTTCGTGCGTTCTGGAGTTATAGCGTCAGGGAGGAAAACCCGACTTATTTTTATATAGTAGACTAGTTCAAGGCAAATCACATCATGGACTAAACAAGAAACCTCTTCAAAATTCAAAATGCCTTTACTATCTTTGTGGTAACAAAACGATCCATACGGCTTCATTGGCCGGCTAACAATAGGTAATATAAAACCCACAACATTATGTGGGCATAACATATAACCACTATGCGCATTGACTTGAAAACCTGCGGTCCCCAAGATAACCCTGATTGTACAGACGACAGCACATCAAGTTAAACTTATAGAATCTATGGAGTTCTAATAAGAGCGATATTACAACTATAGTCTGGTGTGCTCAAAGCTCAAGCCGTAGAACCGAGCGTTGAAGTGAAAACGGATTCTCTGCAAGTTACACCTAACAAACCATTATTGAATAGTTCCCAGTGGGATAATTTCCGGAACGCTATCAGAATATTCTCCACTTGTAGAATGTTTTGGATAACCGGATGAATAGAAGTGTACCTAATAAATGTAAACTTGAAATTCGCCTTGAGGATCTTGGCATAAGGGATTTTGAAAATCGGAAAAGTGATATTTCACAAGTAGCGTATAATATCCACGTAATAAGTAATTAACGCAGTAGCGTAATTATATCCACGTATTAATTAACGCAGTTATATCCACGGGAAGAGTGGGGGTAGTTACCTGAATGTCAAATTACGAATGTCACATAGTTGGTATTCACGTGTCACACATCTTGTCTAACCAATCCTCTATTAATCTAAACAGGTTAAATACTAATAAAATGTTCCCATTTGCCAGTTCCTTGATTTTCTCAACATCCAAACATTCGCACTTGGCAAATTAAAAAAAGTTTTGGCTATTAACAGCTTTGTGCGAGTCGGAGACAAGTTTTACGATTACCATTAAAACTTCACCGTGGAATTTTCTAATATCAATAAAGATTATCAGAGAGATGGGATGTGAAATTTCTGTGTAAAGCCCTTCGTACACAATGCTCCCAAATATTCAATACCCGACGATTTTGGTATCTTCTTATTCTTCCTCGGTCCCTCACTGATAAGGATCGCGACCACAGATAGTGTTCCTCCGCAGACTGCGGTCATAAGCTGTGTGGACCGCCCACCGTCTTCCTCACCGCGTCTGACCATCTCGTCGGTGCCCTTTGGTATCTAATGAGTAAGTAATCAATGAACAAAAAACTCGATTCTTACCCAACAATGTGATCTATAAGCGACTACCGCAATACAAATTCTTAAAAGTTCGTAAACAGGCACCGAACGTAGCTCTTTGAGACCAAAGCCAAAATTGGGTATCAAAGATTTGTGTATCCCTGTGCACAAAGCACCTAAGTTATCGATATAATGTAGCTAGAGCTACAGGCGTTTTGTTTACACTCTGTGTATTTTACGAGCGATAAAATAGCGAAACTTATAAAAAATCTTCTGTATAGGAAACTAAACATAAAACAAACAGTCTAAAGTTAGTTATAAAGTTTTCAAAGAGATTATGTATTTTGTCCTTCACGTGACTTTTTTTAGATACTTTACCGTGTTGAGTTTGCTACTTGCGTCTCCACATTGAAAGCAGTTTTGATAAATATGAACTATTGAATTGAAAAAAAAATATTGTCGGGGCGGGGTCCTTAATCATAACTTATGCCGATATTTAAAAGATATAAAACACTGTTTATAAAGTTACTCATCAACATCTTGATTCAAAAGCGGCTATTTATATATTTGAAATATCAAAAACTAGTGGGATCTATGGGACTTATAACCTACGACCTTTTTTCTTAATGAACTGGTTTTACCACTCAGTTATTGAAAATTGTTATAAAATTCCAAGAGTACTTACGCTGTATTTCATGTGTGACTTTGTCTTAGATGCTAAAACTAACATTTCTGTTCTAAACATTAAGCTCCTAATTATTTGATTATGGATCAATGTCTATTCGTAACTTTGCTTTCTATATTAAATCCAAACGCTTTTTTTGTTGAATTATCTAATGTTCCATCTGTGCTATGTCATAACTTCACAAAAACAGAAAATAATTTTCACAGAACCTCTTCGTATACAATATTTTCCGGCCATATGTGCGGTGCGCGCTCGTCTCATTTAACCGCAAGTGCTCTAAAAAATAAACTCAAATCACCTGTGAAATAACATTTCGCATTTCATTTGGCTTTATGATACTCGAGTTGATTCAGGAATTCCTACTTGAAATTATTTTTGAAGGAAATGTTTATGTTGTTATTGTACCAAACAGATTTCATTTTATTTATTTAATTGGACAACCAACAAGATATAATAAACTAAAAGAAAACAATACTTATTTACAAAGTAAATTTAATCTAAGTGCTGATTATTCAAAAAGCGGAGGTTAGTTGTTAAAAACGAATCTAAAGATTGTAAATAAAAAATAAATGATAAATTGTAATAGATAATAAATTTAATTATGTAAGTTTTAAATTAATATACTAAGCACAAGTTTTAAGTGGCCATAAATTTTAAAATGTTACAACTTTGTTATTACAAATGTTCGAAAACTAATAATGTTACTTTGTTCCACTAAAAGTATTAAAACAATTCAAAAGTACTAGTTCTCTACTTCATTGAATAACTATTTGAATAGATCTGAATAATTTATTCGGGTTTCACAATGTATGCTGAAATGCTTTGTCTCGAGAATTGGGTTTTGCTCGCACAATATTTCGTATTGACAGTTCGTATAAAATATCGAAACAAAATAAAATTTCGCAAGAAGTTGGGCAGAAACTTGCGCTAACTCGGGCACTGAGACAGGCGTCAAAAGTTACTTACCTATTTATTTTAGTAAATAAAGAAAAAACATAAAAGCAGCCTTCGCATCTAGTTTGAATTTAAATTAGTTACTTTTAATTAGTATTCATGAATTTTGTTTAAAATTCCTAAAGGTTTGCACTCTGGAAATTAATTCACGTTCAATTAAGTTTTGTGTTCTAATTTTGATACTAACTAAGCCAGTGGTTGGGTCTTAGTTTTTCAAAAAGGACGTTATCCTTTTAGGCTGAGTTGCACCACCTAACTTTTTATCAGATTCATAAAATATGTACACTACATTATATGGATAAAAAGGGATATTTACGAAATACTCGGTGCCTTTTTTAATAGCCTTTTTTTAAACCATACGCCTAGACGTTTCATCGCAATATAATTTAACTCCATCTAGAAGTTTCTATGTTTGTCTCACTCCACAAACTTTTCAAATAGAAAATAATACTAAATTATTCTCTGTATTGTATTATCTGCTTTCTTATTCAAAAGGTTTTTTGGGATCGTGATCATGTCAAGAAATGAGGCACGTATCTACAACGAGTAATCCTTGCAGAATAATAAGTAGAAGAGAGAGCTTTCGTTTCTTATTCAGGATAAGATGAGTTAAGCAGAACTGTTGATTGATAATTTAATTAGAAAATGATATACATGTGTGACATTATTTAGAAGACTGAATACCTACATAAACATACACAGATTAAGAAAATTGGTTCACGAAGGGACATAATAAAAAAAGTTAAAATGCTATTCAATTAGGTACCATTAACCCATTAACGCCCGCCGTACAATAATTTGTACACAACTTTAAGTTACGATAAATCTGATTAAGAGGGTATTTTAACTCTGGAAATAATTCCAACCGGTAAACGAAGGTCTATGCATTACATCCTAAGATGAAACAGAACATAATTATAAAATCTTAAGGGGGTATTTTACGATTACGTTTCAGTGATTTTTTCGTATCTCCTAGTGGATAGTTGACAATTTTTTATACAAGGTTTAAGTTACACAAAATACCGAATAAGTTGTTAGTGTATTAGCTAACAACATATCCTAATAAAAAATACATAAAAATGTTCATTTCATGGAAAGTTTTTTATGCTATAACTCCCAAAGTGATGCTGTACTAACTTTAGTACAATGGGCGCTTGACATGTTACGTAAAATAGTAAAATAATGACATTATTATTAGAGTGTTTACTAATTTCTTCATTGTTCTTGTATGTAATCATTATTTTCTTTTTCCAATAACATGGCTCTTTATGTATAGGGTTACAGACAACAAAAAGAAACATTTTGTTTTTCCAATTACGACCTGTTTGTCGACCTAAAGAGACTTAGTTACATAGTTTTTGGAACCATACGTGACAGCAGAACCAAACGGTATCCTTTGATTACTTATAAAGATTTTCACAAAAAGCCTAGTGACAAATTCGACAAAGCAAACATAATTTTATTAGTATTGATTGAAAGATAATAATGTGGGTACTATTGGAACAAATTTTGATGCTTTAGAACCGTTGGGAAAGGTCATTATATGGGGTCTCTTGATAAAAAGAAAGTAGAGTTAGGCACCACTGGGTGTCCAGCTCCAGTATAATAAAAAGATTAGTGGGTTAGATCAGATGGATAGTCTATAGAACTTTACCAAACTGAGGTAAAAGGAAAAAAGCGGTGGATGGGTCTTGTTCGCTTATATGGCGGACATGACAATTTCAAATGCATGCAGACTGCACTGCATAGTAAACTCATATAGTCGCTTAGATCAGCTAGCATTCCGCAAATATTATAGTAGCGCACATATTTGACCTATAAAAGATAAATAATAGTAGGTAATCTTGCTCTAGTTGATGGAGAAGAAATATGAAATAATGGTTATAATCAAAATAAACCAGCAAACAAGCCGATTTGACCGCTTAAAATTACTGTGTGTTTCAATAGAGTCAAAACAGCCTATGGCAAGTGCCTGAAAACACTGTGCTAAGATGGAGAAGACTTTGCTCAATATGACTCATAAGCGCCCATTGTACAAAACTTAGTACACCCCTGAAAACCTAACTTCTGATTTTGTTTTTGGTTTTCTTTCTGTTTAGTATTATTTCTGAAGTATTTTTATAAAGAAAATAAACATTGGCTATGTGAAATTGACCGTAGTTTTCATTTGGGCGTTAATGGGTTAATAATTATATTATTATTAGGACTTTTTTGACTTTTGTATCGTTTTGTACATCTAATCATGTCAGTGCATTAATCATGGTAGAAGCTATGATAGGCAAATTCATGCAGTGTTCTTTAGCGATAATAATCGTTGGTGTCGCGTGGCGTAGCGTTGTGTAGCGCCATGTAGCGTTTTGTAGCGTTGTACTAAAATGTGTGTTTACTTGGATATTATGGCCTTACAGTCATAATCCTTACTAACTGGATAAGCGCCATGTAGCATAATATTATCGCCTTTTGGATTAGCTTAAACATACGAGTAGTGTACTAATTTGATGCTGAATCTACATACATTTGTATAATCTTCTTTCCTCTGAAACTACTTACGAAAAAATCTACAGACACAATTACTTTCTTTTACATTTTTACTCACCAGAATGGAGTCCTATCCTCAATTTGAGCTGGTCATGGGGCCGGTGCCTAATGTGGAACAGTTTAACAGGAGCTATACACATTCATTTCACATCTTTGCTTACCGGAATGGAGTCCTATCCTAGCTTGAGCTGATCATAGGGTCGTTGGCAGATGTGGAACCGGTTAACAGAAGCTTAACACATTCATTGAACATCTTTGCTTACCCGAATGGAGTCCTATCCTCAGCTTGAGCTGGTCATGAGGTCGGTGCCTGATGCGGAACCGTTTCACAGCATCCAGTAGAGCTAGCGCCATCCGCGCCACTTCACAAGCGTGCCGCGTGCCGTTGCGTTCTGGCAACCCTGACACTACCATGTACGCGTCGCCTATGGTTTCCACCTGGTACAGGTAATATTAACAAGTTTAATTTGAGAATTTTAGTTATCTTGACGACATTGCATTAGCCTCATATTCTGTAGGATCTTTTTTTAGGAGACTTTTAGATGTTTTGATGAACTTGTATTGGTGTCAGATTCAATAGGTTGAGTGTATTTTTAAACAATATTATAGGTCCAATAATTTAAATATGATCCAAACTAAGTATAGCTTGTGGCACAACTCTTTTACTCATCACACTAGCATCAGTAGGAATTGAACCCACAACCTCAATGGTAGGTATTGAAAGAAAGAAAATAATATTTTTATTTTTATTGTAGTCTTGTGTTCGAACCTTTCCGAACATCGGCTATTATCGAAACCAGAAAGTACTTTTTAAAAAGTAGGCATTAGTTTAAGTTATATCTACCATGTGAAATTGACACAAAATCAATAGTCAATGTATCATGTTGGTAACTTGGACATAGAATCTTACCTTATAAACGTCATAGTTCTCAACAATGGAATCAAAGCAGGTATACAGGTCGTTTAGTAGGTCTACGACTTGCATCGGAGTGGAAGAGGCAGACAGGGCGGTGAAGCCGACGATGTCAGAGAAGTAAATGGTGACTTGCTCGAAGGTTTCTGCCACTACTGATTGGCCATGGATCAGCTGAGAGGCCACTGACCTAGGATGGAAAATATAACATTTTAAACTTTCGCGTTCCATTTAAATTAAAATAAATATACAACAGCCGAAATGTCAAGCCGTGAGGCTGGTTTTGGTGTCACGCGGACCGTCCGGTGCGGACCCGCTCCGCACGGCCAATCTGTATGAACTTCTAGGGAGCGTTTTAGAGTAATGCGGTCCGGAGGAACCTCTCGCTCCCTAGCAGTTCATACAGATCGGCTGTGCGGAGCGATCCGCACTGACAGTCCGCGTGACACTAAAACCAGCCTGAGTACTTGACTAGGATGAAAAAGTTTGAAATTATAGCTGTATGGAAAATAAAATCATCATCATCATCTAAGAGGTCTAAAGTTATTAGGATTTATGCAAGAGATACATTTAGAATCATTTTTTTAAACTTAAAAAACGAGTTCTTGTACTAAAAATTAGCCATTTCTCACAGATAATTTAAAACGAACTTAATTTTTGGGATAAAATTTACCAGCATATTTTATTTGCAATTTTTTTACGTTTCAAAAGTAGTGGCATGCAATATCGTAATTTAACACATGACTATTAACAATTTTTCATTCAATTTAATACAATATTTTTAAACCTTTATTTCGCTACCTGACTGTGTAATAAACTACCTTTTTTCCGCTTTGTAAATCAATATATATTCTAATAATAACAATTGATGACCTCTAATTGTTCGATACAAGACCAAAAAGGTATTACTAAAGAGCCATTAAAGTCTGAGCACCATTTTATTGGATGCCGTCAAGAGTAATCAATCTAAAGTTGCTTTGAAACTGAAGTACCACTATCCCTCAAAGTGCCGTTATATCGTGTCAATCTCAAAAGGATTCCGATCTTAGCTGATATTGCGGGGTCTATTCCACTTTGATCACCTGGCTTTGATCACCCAGGTGATCAAAGTGGACTTCAAACGACAATTTGGTGTCCTTTGATCACCTATGGATAAGAGGGTGATCAAAGTGGACTCCAGTTTTGTTAATATTTTAGTTTCCTTTGATCACCAAAAATAAATTACACCTCCTCTGAATAGTCTCATGTCCAATTCTTATACTTACATAATATGTTTTGTAAAATTTTTGATATTTTCTAAAAACCGCAACAAACAAATTGGACATGTATGTGACTATTCGGTGTTGTAATTTATTTATAGGTGATCAAAGGACACCATCGTAAAGGTAGCAGGGAAGCGCTGGACGCAGGCCGCTACCAATCGATCAACATGGAAAGCATTGGGGGAGGCCTATGTTCAGCAGTGGACGTCCTGTGGCTGAAATGATGATGATGATGATGATGAAAGGACACCAAATTGTCGTTTGAAGTCCACTTTGATGACCTGGGTGATCAAAGTGGAATAGACTTATCGGTACCTAGCTCCCTCGGGATAGCTGTTCGAGAACTCATTAAGTAGACAATAATTTGAAACTAGATAATACTTATTCTAGAATTCAGATTTAATTTAAGTTTTGAAGTGCTAATTTGAGAAAGTTCGAATCATTTTGGCGCAGTTGTGACGTTTCATCAAAAAGTTTAAGAAGACTATTGACTTAATGAAAAAGAGGTAGCTTTCATAATTTGAGTCTGCTGGCACGATATGATCATAAGCCCTCAGTAAGCCTCACTCTTTACGCCAGTGATTTTCCTAATGTTCTAGTTAAGAATGTATGTAAAGTAAACAGAAAAAGCAAAAAATGAGCTATTTGATTATCTTTTTTGACAATTATTACGTTCTCTCACTTAGGATAGAGCTTTTTAAATTCTGTTTCAGCGTTTGAAATCCTTTTTGGCCTCTTTGGCCTTTGAATAGTTGTGCCTTCAAAAAGTCACTAGTAATTTTTTTTCTGAATCATGAGAAAAAGAGCAAGATAGAACGTCGCCTGGAATTTAATATCACTTACTTAGGTAGCAATTGATACAGGAGCTCCTCGCATTTTTTCTTCTCTTCCAAGTAGTCTTTAGTTCGGTCTTCGACTAACATCTCCAAGTTGTTAGCATACTGCTCCATACGGGATAGTAAGTTGTCCAAAATATTGCTGCTTTCTTGCGTCCTGTGAAAAATTTAGTTCTTACTTCTTACTTTCGATTGTGTGACGTAAGATGTTTTATCATCAATTCTAGATTTTAAAGAAATAAATTTGGTTTAGACACATTACAAACATAAAATTAAGTACACGAAGAAGTCTTTAAGGTGCCAACATAATAAGTATCCTTTCCGAGAATATTTTCACAAATAACTCAAATAACGTTGTAGAAAATTATGACGTGCAAAAATATCTAAAAATACCACCCTGAATATTTATCTTGGCTAAGTATATTTTTAATCTCAAAATTTCCAGCGAAGAATTTCTTTATGCACAATGAAAATTCCTTAAGTGGCTTGTGCAAACTTTCTAAAATGCTCTTTGAGGGTGAGATAAGCGAATCTACTTTATATTTCTTAAAAAAATATTAATTGGCTCAAATATTACTTTATTCGCGTTAAACTGAACTGGTTGGAGACCAATATTTTTTGATATCTGGATTAGAGTGATCAATTAAATGTTGAAATTTTTATTCGACTTGATTCATAAAAGGCCCTTAACATTATTGTTGGTAAAATTTAATATTAAGCTTGAATATATCAGAACTTGTGTTTCTTTAATGAAAAGACCGATAGTTAGCGAGATAAGCATTTATTATTCGGGTTCTTACACAGACACATCTTGTTCGTACATAGCCGGAAGAGGGAAGAGCGTTCTGCCGGAAACAGTTAACT